AGTCGTCCCTCGACTCACCGATTCATCGACTCAACCAGAAATATTGGGACTTCCTCGACAAGACTCGCCGAGTCCAACTGAACTCGTCGAGTCCAAGTCCATCTTCAACCTACTCGCCGAGTTGTTCTTCCAACTCGTCGAGTTCAAGGCCATCTTCAACCTACTCGCCGAGTTGTTCTTCCAACTCGTCGAGTTCAAGGCCATCTTCAACCTACTCGTCGAGTCCACCCATGTGACTCGCCGAGTTCCACCGGTCTGAATCCATATAGAAGCATCTCAGGCCATGCAATTGATCCAAAACATAGATCCAGCCTCCTACAATCCAACCATCACGTAAAGTAGCAAACTTTACGTGAATCAAACGAGATCTAGGCCATTTCCACCTTAAAACCAAGGTTTGGGACATGATAGCTTCATTCATAGCACAAAGGTTGGGACTTTAATGCACTCAATGACTTCTCCACTCCAGATCTGAGGTAGCAACCTCAGATCCATCCTCCAACACCAAAATGTCACACAACCAAGCATCCCACACAACCCCAAATGATGAAACTAGGAATGCACAACTTAAGAACGAAGATATTACCTCCAGAAGATGCCTCAATAACAGCTAAACACGAATCCAAGCAAAGCCCTTTGATCCAAACCACTTCTCCTTCAAGATTTCTCCAAGCAACACCTCTCCAAGCTCCAATTTGCTCCACAATGGTCTTCTCCACGAGATTAGGGTTTCTGGAACTCAAGGGGGGAATAAGAGAGGCTTTGGAGGGATATAATGTTCTTTATATAGGGCTCAACCCCGGAAATTAGGGTTTTCCTCATACAGCACCTACTCGCCGAGTTCATACTTGGACTCGCCGAGTAGGCCACTCGGCACGCGACCATGACCGCGACCGGACTCGCCGAGTCTATCCATGGACTCGCCGAGTCATCCTCTAAAACTTGCACTTTCAGCCCTTCAACTCTACTCTTGCGATTCCGGGATGTTACATATATGAACAATACCTATAGGTAGATTTAAAACCAGGTTGAGATATATTTCAAACTTCAATATTTGATGTATATTGATGATTAAATAGATATGTGGGAGTTTTAAAGTGTTTCCTAAAAATTTATGAGTTATCTATTAAGTTAAACTCCATTTATGAAAAAGAAGAAACACTAAAACTTGTAATTGAAAATCTGACAGCTTTGACCTTATTGATTGGAGTCCAACAATGGTTAAAACAGATAAGGTAAAGACTTAACATATTTAGATGAATAATTTTGCATTGTCGAAAGTGTGTCACTAGAAATTTAAAAGAGAACACTAAGTTTTGCAATGCTTTATATTTTAGAAACGTTATAGATTATAAAACTATATTGAAGCAAAGTACACAAATAATGTATGTTTTGAAATACAAGCACTATAGATGTCTTATAAACATGTTTGAAGTAGACATTTAAATAAATATCATGTTGTGTTTTCGAGAAAACCCATTAAAGTAAATTACAATGTCTAAATGAGAAAGCAATTAAATGTGTCAAAGCAAAAGTGGTTTGGAAAATCCGAGGACGCTTTTACATATAATATGACTTCAATGCTATATGTTTAAGTTTTATAGCATAGAGTTTAAACACTTTTTTAAAAGAAAATGTTTCTAAGTTTTTCTAAAACGTGTCAAAAGGGTAAGCAAGGTTTAAAATGGTTTATATGCCCTTAAAAGCACATTTATCCATTGAAATGGATTTGAAATGAAATTGAAATCGCAAGGTTAAAACCAATATTGGTTAAATTGAGTTTTGAAGAAAAGTGTTAAGTTAAAGCAAGTTCTCAAAATATTTTTAGTGAGAATATGGCTTACATTGTTAGGAAAGGTCTAGTAAGTTGTATGAAGTGGTTATAAAATATTTTATCGATGATAAGTAAAATCGATGAAGCGAAGTAACTTTTTGATGGAAGATTAAGAAGTAAGGAATAAGTATATGTTAGTGTAGCTGATCGTACCTAAATACTAAGGAGAGTACAAGACGAGTCTAAGGCGAGTACCGGTGTCTTTTCCCCAAAATAAAGGACAAGAAAAATCATTTGTAAAACGTTTTATGGTGTCAATGTAGTTTACGACCATTTATAGAGTTCAAAGGGACATACTATGTTAAGTTTTAAGCTCAAGCTGGAAACAACCTAGAGCTAAATCGTAGCGTATTAATAAGGTCTCACGTATGGGTTAAATCTCCGTGTCTCCTCGTGAGTCTAATCCGGAATGCCCGCCAATGGTATCTAAGTGACTACTGGTGGCGACTCATCTACCTCCTAGCACGATGCTCCAGTGGTCTCCCATGTTGGCATCGGAACGCTTTCCTAGTTGTAACTCTAGTACGAAAACGATGAAGCGGTATTGAGGAATAATTGGTATAGGTTTCGACTTAAGATTATTGTTAGTGTATATCTAGCTACTAATCTTACATCTAAAGTCAATAGCTACTGAGGAATACCCATTCTTAGTACTAAGTGCATTGCTCCTAGAGTGGCTAGTGATATAACCTAAGTGGTTAACCTAGCACTTGATAAGGGATAAGAATATTTCTAAATAAATGCCTTGTTATAAAAGTGCACTTAGTTTCTGAGTGTATCTAGATGAATGTCTATAATATGCAATGCCCGTAAGCACACCGAAAAATTTTGTTTTTCAAAAGTTTAAGTTGAAAATTGTTTTGAACATAATTCTATTATAACCGTTTTCCAGCCTCGCATTAATTTTCCTTAATTAAGCATAAGGTGCCAGGCTATACTTAATTAGATTCCAATAATGCGTACTCGAATTAGTTATACTACTAGAATGTTCGGTATAAAAAAAGTTTTGAAATTTTTTTGGCTATAGTTGTGGTTCTCCAAAGGAAAACCTGTATTCTCTATAACCTTCGGCTCTGATACCATTTATGTCACATCCCGCTAAAGCGGAAACACGAGGCCTGGCAGTATAAAGGGTTTCATAGCAAAAGTTAAAATACAACACCAACCATAGTATTAAAAATGATTACAAATCTACAATGGGTTTGAAAAACTTTTATAAGAAATTACAAAGTAAATTGAAATACAATACATGCGAATGCTCTTAAAAGTGATGTGTCTCTACGTGCCTCTTACTAGATGATTCTTGAAAAAGCATGTAAAACAAGCGTCAACTATAAAAATAGTTGGTGAGTACTCACATGTTTACAACATAATATAGTTTGAAATCATGATAATCAGTTTGTAACAGTGTCCATAAAAAAAATGTTGATTTCTAAAATAAGTAATTAAGTTTTCATGAAAAGAAATTTGTTGCTAAAGCGGATAATAAAGTTTCCATAAATAGAAATATATTGTAAAAATGAGTATATAAGTTTGCATAAACAAAGTTTGTTATCATCATGAGAGATAAAATATGTTGTCCAAATGAGATGCAACGTTTATATTCTCATGGGAAATAAAGTTTGTTACTCAAACGAGTAAACAAGTTTCATTGCTAAAATGAGCAATCAGGTTCGTTGGTACAAGGAGCAAACAATTTCATTGCTAAAACAAGTATATAAGTTTCCAGTAATAAACGTCTGTTGTTGTAATGATAAACAAAGTTTATTGCTATAATGAGAAACAAAGTTCATTGTTATAATTAATAAACAAGTTTATTGTCATAATAAATAACAAGTTTGTATGTGTATAAGCAAACAATGAGTTCACAACCAAGCCTATGACTGATGCTCTATCAAGATCTATGCTTATCGTTCCATAGATTATTATGGTATCATGCACTCAATTAATCGGGCGAGTGAGGAGTTGTCAATTCCTAATACTGCTATCCATAATGACCATTGGCTCAAAAAGTTAATGGTTGGAGTAAAGTAAAAGGGAAGGGACATAAGACGATAAGGCCTCATGTTTCGTGTTGCACGGACATACATAGCAAAATATAGCAATCAAGTTTGATACAAACCAATTTAAATACAACGAATAATAAATAGTTTTTCGGATATGCTTTTCCACCCCAAAACATAAAAACTGGAAATGGGGGAATGCGTGAATACTCACAATATGCAAAATATAGCAACCAAGTTTATACGAGTCAAATAAATACAACGAACATAAATAGTTTAGGACATGTTTTTCCACCCCAAAACATAAAAACCGAAAATAGGGGAGTGGTGAATACTTACAATGCATTGAGATGATGCAAATGGTGCCTTGAACTGTGCTCCACTCGTACCACTATCGTTTTCCTACAACGATGTTACACACTAATGAGTCTCTAATTGAAATCTAATACTAGTATTATTTACTACTACAATAGAATTATGCCAATAATGTGTCAAATTTTAATATTGTTATTTGTTTTTTAATGTTCTTGATACTTATCTAATGATTTTTAGTTTTGTTTTATATCCTATCTTTTAAGGCTTTATCACTTGATATAAGAATGAATATTTTGAAAATCCGTATTTTTATATCCTTAGTTTCACATACTACCAATAATATTTAAAAAATAGTATTAAAAATTGAGATTATGTTTGTTTGTTTATCAAAAGACTATTGAGATTACTTAATATTTATAATAGTACTTTGAAAATATCAACAAGCCTAAATAAGAAGAAAAGAAAATTGCTTCGAAATTTAAGAATATTGCTGAAAACTGGTTAGCAAAATCCGAATTTTTTAATTCTTGAAAACCAAATTGTGATAATTGCTCCAACCAAAGTGTAATTTGTTTGATCGGTCGACCCCATGAAGAAAAGAGGATTTATTATATATATATATATATATATATATATATGTGTGTGTGTGTGTGTGTGTGTGTGTACTGTGCATTTAGTAGTTTTTTTCCTTGTGCTGAATACATGTTGGTTTGATTGCATAATTGGATACTTAATGAAGAAGTTTGCAACTGTTGGTAATGATGAAGAGAAAGCATTATATGATAAGACTAAGGTGGAAGTTGAAAATCTCTAGGCTCTGCTTGAAGGTTATCTTTTCATTCTGTTTTTTTTATTATAACAAAGGTTGTTTATCGAAATCCCAATAATACCCTTTACATGCTTCCATCAACCCCACAAGCACAGTTAGAGGCAATGGGTGGCTCTACTGGACCTGATGTTGTCATTGCTGCAAAAAAGAATGTTGCCCTTTTGACTTCTCGAGCTGGTGCCCGAGACCCCTCTGCTATTCCTTCTATTTGTTGTGTTTCTACTACCCTTCAATATCCTACAGGTGTGTGTGTGTGTGTGTTTGTGTGTGTGTATTAAAGTGATGTGAAATTACTAAAATACCCTTGGTTAATTTTAGGGTTGGAAGGTTTGGATGTCGGCTTAGCATCGGTGTTGGAATCGATGGATATTTGTTTGAAGTTGTGGGGTTCAAAAGCTTGTGTTTTGGAGGACTTAGCAAATGCTATCAATCTGGCGCATATCACGAGGGATCTTGTGGAAAGTGTTGCAACTTTGCTAAACCATGCTTATCACAATTAACAAGAATACGAAAGGTATGAGGGTGGAATTAGAATCCATGCTTCCGAAGGAATTTGAATATGTGATTCCATTCCAATGCCAAATAAACGGAGTTTAATTCTATCTGAACGTGGATCCAGAATCAGTAATTCCGATGGAATCGGAATCTGTGATTCTGTTGGAATCAGAATCTATGATTCCATTCCGCTACCAAATCAACGGAATTTAATTATATCTGAATATGGAACCATAATCAGCGATTACGATAGAATTGGAATCAGTGATTCCGAAGGAACCAAAATCGTACAAAAACTTCAAATGAAAACCAAAATTGCAAAAGAACCTTTTGACATTATGGTTAGTGTAATGGAATGTATTTTTGATATGTATGATATCTTATTTTGCATTATTAGACATTAAATGTGTAATTTAGTTTGTTTAATATTTGGTACAAATTTAGAATATATATATATATATATAACCATGACAAACAAAATATGTCGTAAAACTATGTCATAGAATGTCATAAATGTGTCATAATTGCAAGAATGTTACTAATTACGACATACAAAGCCAATCATAAATGTATGTCAAAAACGTATGTCGTGTATGTATGTCTTAATTGTGGGTCGTAAAGGTATGTCGTAAAATTTATGACAGGCCAAATGTCTATCATTATCCTTTATGACATGGCTTTCAATGACAAACATTTATCTGTCATTGTCATGTATAGGCATTTACGAAGGAAAGCCTTTTTCTGGTAGTGTCAGTATCTTAAATACGGATTTAACACTTACACACATAAACCAAATCCATTTTTATATGGACAAAATAAAAACGTGTCATACTTTTGTTCTATTAAACTTGATTTTTTGTGTTAAATATGTTATTTTATAATTTATACAAAGTAGAAAGTTAAATCAATAATCTTGTATATTTCAAGATCTTAAACACAAATTTAACCTTTACCCCCCCCCCCCACCCACCTACCCCACCAAACCGTGTTTTTGTATGTACAAAATAAAAAAGGGTCGCATTTTTGTTAGATTATTTTATTTTATTTTTTGTGTTAAAGGGGTCATTTTGTATTGTAAGGTAAACCAATAACCTTATATTTTTCAAGATCTTAAACACAATATATGTAGAGTTAAAGGATTAGAGTTCACCAATATATTTCAAGATTTGAAATATAAAGGAGGCTGATGAGGATTAGTAAATATCTTATTTATCTTCATCGTGTTCTCAAGTTGTCTACTTTCATCGTGTTCTCAAGTTGTCTACTTCGTTTGAAATCCATTTTTTTTAAATCAAGAAACCCTAATGCAATCGCAAATTTGATGAAAAAAAATCCATATTTAAACACCATTTGTCAAAGAACACGACTTCCCTGGATATGGTTGAAACGAAGACGGAGATGATTAATAATTTTGGTTCTTAAACTCGTAAAAAATTTGTTTGAACCCAATTTTTTTTGTTTGTAAAATTAATTTAATGTCTTATCGAAATACATAAATACGTAGTTGAACTTTTTACTTTAAGCTCGGAATTCTTTTTGTTCTTGAACCCTTCGTCGATGAATACCCAACCAGAACCCATAATTTATGTTCTTTAAACCAAATACGGGAAGATAATGAATATTTAATATTTAATTCTTAATATAATAAACTTTAAAATATTTAAAAATAAAAATAAAAATCCATATCATTGCGAGTGTGGCATAAATGTAATTATATAGACAAAATTGCATGGTCCTGTAATATGTCAAAACTAGCATGTTTTAGCCAAAAAAGTTTTGACTCGCATTAGTGATTCAATAGTTTGATTTTGTTGCGAGTTTTGTCCAAAGTGTTTTATATTTTTTTATAATGACAGATTTGTCTTTAGTATTTTTCTTTTTCAATTAACTTTATAAATGAAATGAAAATTAGAAAATATTCACCTCTCTCTCTCTCTCTCTCTCTCTCTCTCTCTCTCTATATATATATATATATATATATATATATATATATATATATATATCAAAATGCTTACTTTACAAGGCCACCACCACCACCAGTCTACAACCGGTCAACGAAATCGCACATCTGGTCACCACCGCTGCAACCACCACCGGTAACTACCATATGATTTACTCATACAAAATTTTCGAGATATACAACTCAAACTCAAGGTGAAGATCTGGGAACCAGAGGAAGATTTAAACCAACTTCAACACAAACACACACATACAACAACCAATCTCACTTTTTTATTAAACATATAAAGATCAAACCTAACACACAAACAATCCAGAACACCTGATCAACCAGATATCTAAAGCAGGAATAACAATCAGATTTGTAAACCCACAACAACACCTAATTACAAGACTTGTAAAATCAAAAGAACCAATTACTAGATTTGTAAAACTCTAACCTTCTCATATACAAAATCCAGAAATTGACACGAATATGGAGTTGTAAGCCACACTGATGAACCTGAAAAGGAATACACACACAACCGTTCGAATTATTCAAGATCTGCAAAAACCCTAGAGTCGTTGTCGCCCTGCTCGCTGGCGGACATCGGAATCACGCTCTGCCATTCTCGATTCATCTTCTCCGGACATCGGAATCGTCTTTATAGACCTATAATGAACACGTCTCCTCTGTTCTTTGCGTTTCGAGATCCACAGTTGTGACAACCCTATTTTTCCCAAAAACATTGTAAACACTCGAAAGCTAAAAACAACGAAATTAACCTCGAAAATAAAGTGTTCAGATATCTAAGTTGGGATGCATCGAATATTAGATATCATGCCCAGGTTTCCAAAAACATAAAGAACACTCAAAACCGAGTTATATTGAAGAAATTATAACCACTCGTATAATTACGACACGACGTTAAAACATAATTTGATGTAAAAAGTGAAATCTCAATAAAATACATTTTAGCCTTAAAGTATCTAAACAAAAGTCGTAGATCTCGTTGAAAGATGAGCGTGCATAAAAAGATCGCCCAATTTGGACCTCGTATGAAGAAGTTACGAATTTTCAAAGTTTCGTAACAGTAGTAAAAGGCTAAAAACTCGGATTGAAGATCGAGTATTATTTAGCTATCGCCACCTAAACGGAAGTTGAAGATCTCCTCGGTGGCAATAAGACAATAAAAAGACAAACGAAAACCGACGTCGAATAAAGAACCTATGAAATTCTAACGAACTTTAGGAGTCCCGGCCTATTAAAATTATATCATTAAAAATAAAGTCAAAACTAGCCGACGGAGTCTAAATGAAAGTTGTAGAGCATAATCTCACCTACGCGTGGATATAAAGAACGCGAAAAACGGAGCTCGTACGCGAAAGTTACGGAATTTAGAAGTTGGAAGCAGGGATTACGCCCCGCGTAATCTGGGAGTACGCCCCGCGTACTAGACCCAGGGTCGAGTCCCATCGGCCCGCCCAAACTACGCCTAGCTAGCCAGGAGCCGTAAGCCGTGACGTATTTTTACGCCCAGCGTAACGACGTACGCGCTGCGTACGTGAGTACGCCCCGCGTACTCCAAAATTACGCCCCGCGTACGAGGCATTTCCAGCCTATAAATAGAAGGCTTAAGCTCGGGTTTTGGCACACCTTCACCATTTCTCAGACATTCTCCCAGCTCCAGAGACCCTTTTCTCACCTCGGTTTCCGCACTCGAGCCCCGACGAAGGATTTACGTTGCAGAAGTTCCCGAAGAGCCCGACGACGCAACTATCCGCGATCGAAACTCTGCTCAACTCTAGCCCCTCTCTTCAGACTTAACGAGTGAGTTCATACCCCTACTTTTAAATCCTTTTACATGTTTTAGGGGGGGATACAAGTACATTACACGTTAAAAGTATCGTTTTCTAAACATAAATGCAATTTCTAACTTCGAATATCGATACAAACATCTTATGTATACAAGGGTAATTATATCACTAAGTTATGTCTACGAAATGGAACATACTATCTGAAGAACTATAATGGGTATAGTTAGCAAGTCAATCCTACATTTTTATACAATTTGAAAAACGAAACACTTTCAAAAAGGAGTAAAGTCATTTCATTGTAAATCTATTTATACTAGGTAAATGTGAGACGTTTAAACTTCAACGTACCTTTTTGTACGCATTTCAAGTCCTGTATTATATACCATAATCTCTTGGAGGGAGAGCGTGATACTTGTGTATAGATCTATACGGGATTGACAATCCCGCACCTAAACTACTAGCTATAGTTAGACCGGCAGGTCTGGGGTGACAAATGTCATAACACTACAACACTTGAAGAATGTTGTTACAGGCCGTCAGTGTCAATAGTATGGTTATAAAACTCACATAAAAAGTATAAAACAAGATTGATTTACAAGGTTCATATGTGCATCGCAGTATTTCTACATTATATTTTCATACTAAATTATTGTTATCAATTGTTTATAAAAGTTACTAATACATTCCAACTTTGGAACCTTTTACATTTTACAAGAAAATATTGGATTTTCTAAAGATCTCGTTTACCAAATTACTACCAAAGGAATATACTTTTCAACTCGGAACACTCATGAACTCACCAACTTAAATGTTGACACTTTTCAAAACCACTTGTATTTCTCAGGGAATCAGTGATACAGGTAAACTACCAGCTTTTGGAAGAAGGAACACAAAGGATGATTTTATCATTAAACATTTATTCATCATATTGTAATATTCTTTTGATAACATGTATAACGCAACAATACACGTTTTCATTGTTATATATATGATGGTTGTGTTACTTTCTTTGCAATATTCAATCGTTGTGATACTACGTGAAGTCATCCACCCCCGAATGTTTCCGCCATTCTGGTTTGGGGGTGTGACAGATTGGTATCAGAGCATTGTTTATAGTGAACTAAGTATATCAAACCACATAAGATATACAAACTATAAATACAACGGGAACCAAAAACCCTCTGATAACAACATTTTCATAGAAATATATTTTCTTTTAAATATATACATTTTTACCGCACGTATCAGT